GCCGCACCACATCATAAAAAACAATGGGAAGATAAACATGATAAAGCTCGTAAATACCTTTCTGATCAAATTGGAGACGCTGATGCTGAAAAAGAATTGTTAGATTGCACTGATAAATATATCATTGATAATATTGCCAAAAAGGTTGAAAAAGACCATAAGAAAGAAGCTGCAATTGCTGTTGTTCAAGATGAAGCTTCTCCTGATAAACATGAAGAAATTGTATCTAAACAAAAAGACGATGGTAGCATTGAAATTGATGACTCAATATGTAAGGAATTGCAAGCTCCTAAAGAAGAAATTATTGATACAATTAAAGAGAAAATTACTAATCCGAAACTCAAATTACCCGAGTTTTCATCAAGTCTTGCAACTGCTATTAACCTTTCATATCTAAAAAATGCAGCGGATAAATATAAAGGTGATTGGGTAGATAAATATAACAAAGCTCGTGACTATCTTTCTAAGCAAATTGGAGATGCTGATGCTGAAAAAGAATTATTGGATTGTGCTGACGAGTATGTAGTTGATAAAACTACAGATAAAGTGATTGAAGAAAAGAAACGAGATGTAATTGAACTTAAGAAAGATGAAATACCGAAAGAACAATCTAAAGCTAAAGCTAAAAGCTTTATCGGTAATCTTTATGATGAAGCTGCTAAACTTGAAGATCAAATTGAAAAAGCACTTGGATTTAATAAAGATAAAGAACTTGATGATCATGAAAAAGCAGAAGCACTCATAGTCATTGAGGAATCAGCCTCACCTGAGAAATGCAATGAAATCGTCGCGGATCAAAAAGATGATGGTTGTATTGAGTTAAGCGACACAGTTTGTGATGAATTGGATGCTCCTAAAGAAGAAATTATCAAGACAATTCAACCAACACTTACAAATAATAAGCTCCAATTACCTAATCTTCCATCAATTCTTTCAACTGCAATTAACCTTTCATATCTAAAAAATGCCGCGCCTAAACTTAAAGGTGTATGGGAAGATAAATATAATAAAGCCCGTAAATATCTCTCAGACCAAATAGGAGATGAAGATGCCGAGAAAGAACTTTTGAAATGTGCGGACGACTATGTAGTTGATAATTGTGCAAAGAAGGTGATTAAAAATAAAAAGAGAAATGCAGTCATTACGGTGCAGGAGGTTGCTACACCAGAGAAGTGCGATGATGTAGTGTCTAATCAAAATGATGACGGATCTTTTGAAGTTAGCGAAACAATTTGTGAAGAAATAGACGTTCCAGTTACCAATGTAGTAACTGAAGTGAAAGAATGTACACAAAATCCAAAACTTAAATCTCCAGAATCAGAACCATGGTGGAAGACAGCACTCACTACTAGCTACCTTAATATCGCTGCACCACATAATAAAAATCAATGGGAAGATAAATCTAAGAAAGCTCGTAAATACCTTTCTGATCAAATTGGAGAACCTGACACTGAAGAAGAATTATTAGATTGCACTGATAAATATCTCGTCGATAATATTACTAAAAAAGTTGAAAAAGATCATAAGAGAGAGGTTGCAATTGCTGTTATTCAAGAATCAGCTTCTCCCGATAAACATAAAGAAATTGTATCTAAACAAAAAGACGATGGTAGCATTAAACTAG